TGCTACGAAGGGTCGGACCGTCACTCGGGTCTCCGACCACGTGGTTGCCTCGTAGGACGAACAGCTTCAGCTTGAGACGTAGAGCTTCCCGCTTCTAGATGTTGAGCTTCCAGCTTGTAGATTGAAGCGACCCCGGTCCCTCTCAGGGACCCGCCTTATATCCCCCTACGGTCGGGGCCGCTCTGCCCTCGGCTCCGCCCGCCTTCTCGTTCCCTCTCGATCCTTCTCGAGAGCTCTCCCCGGACACGTGATCACCCACTAGTCCCCCCACCTGGGGCCCCCTGTATGGACATTCCGGATCACGTGTCCACGGGGTCAACCACAGTGCCATGGCCCGGGGCAACCCTGCGCCTGGGTTGACGCTCACCCACTTTGCCTCGTGGGAGCCCCCACCACATGCTGTGCGTGATGCCCGCACTATCCCAGTGCTCACCAAGCCCCGCTAGGGCTGGTGTCACACACAGCCACCCGCACAGTGCTGTCCCCGCTAGGGCTGTGTCACACACATCCACACACACGGTGCTGTCCCCGCTAGGGCTGTGTCACACACAGCCACACACACGGTGCTGTCCGCGCTAGGGCTGTGTCACACACAGCCACACACACGGTGCTGTCCACACTAGGGCTGTGTCACACACAGCCACACACACGGTGCTGTCCCCGCTAGGGCTGTGTCACACACAGCCACACACACGGTGCTGTGTCCACTAGGGCTGTGTCACACACAGCCACCCACATGGTGCTGTCCACTAGGGCTGTGTCACACACAGCCACTCACACGGTGCTGTCCCCACTAGGGCTGGTGTCACACACAGCCACTCACACGGTGCTGTCCCCGCTAGGGCTGGTGTCACACACAGCCACCCACACGGTGCTGTCCCCGCTAGGGCTGTGTCACACACAGCCACCCACACGGCGCTGTCCACTCTAGGGCTGTATCACACACAGCCACCCACACGGTGCTGTCCACGCTCGGGCTGTGTCACACACAGCCACACACACGGTGATGTCCCCTCTAGGGCTGTGTCACACACAGCCACCCACACGGTGCTGTCCCCGCTAGGGCTGTGTCACACACAGCCACCCACACGGTGCTGTCCCCGCTAGGGCTGTGTCACACACAGCCACCCACACGGTGCTGTGTCCACTAGGGCTGTGTCACACACAGCCACACACACGGTGCTGTCCGCGCTAGGGCTGTGTCACACACAGCCACACACACGGTGCTGTCCACACTAGGGCTGTGTCACACACAGCCACACACACGGTGCTGTCCCCGCTAGGGCTGTGTCACACACAGCCACACACACGGTGCTGTGTCCACTAGGGCTGTGTCACACACAGCCACCCACATGGTGCTGTCCACTAGGGCTGTGTCACACACAGCCACTCACACGGTGCTGTCCCCACTAGGGCTGGTGTCACACACAGCCACTCACACGGTGCTGTCCCCGCTAGGGCTGGTGTCACACACAGCCACCCACACGGTGCTGTCCCCGCTAGGGCTGTGTCACACACAGCCACCCACACGGCGCTGTCCACTCTAGGGCTGTGTCACACACAGCCACCCACACGGTGCTGTCCACGCTCGGGCTGTGTCACACACAGCCACACACACGGTGATGTCCCCTCTAGGGCTGTGTCACACACAGCCACCCACACGGTGCTGTCCCCGCTAGGGCTGTGTCACACACAGCCACCCACACGGTGCTGTCCCCGCTAGGGCTGTGTCACACACAGCCACCCACACGGTGCTGTCCCCGCTAGGGCTGTGTCACACACAGCCACCCACACGGTGCTGTCCCCGCTAGGGCTGTGTCACACACAGCCACCCACACGGTGCTGTCCCCGCTAGGGCTGTGTCACACACAGCCACCCACACGGTGCTGTCCCCGCTAGGGCTGTGTCACACACAGCCACCCACACGGTGCTGTCCCCGCTAGGGCTGTGTCACACACAGCCACCCACACGGTGCTGTCCCCGCTAGGGCTGTGTCACACACAGCCACTCACACGGTGCTGTCCACTCTAGGGCTGTGTCACACACAGCCACACACACGGTGCTGTCCCCGCTAGGGCTGGTGTCACACACAGCCACTCACACGGTGCTGTCCACTCTAGGGCTGTGTCACACACAGCCACACACACGGTGCTGTCCACACTAGGGCTGTGTCACATACAGCCACACACACGGTGCTGTCCACTCTAGGGCTGTGTCACACACAGCCACACACACGGTGCTGTCCCCCCTAGGGCTGTGTCACACACAGCCACCCACACGGTGCTGTCCCCACTAGGGCTGTGTCACACACATCCTCCCACACGGTGCTGTCCCCGCTAGGGCTGTGTCACACACAGCCACCCACACGGTGCTGTCCCCGCTAGGGCTGTGTCACACACAGCCACCCACACGGTGCTGTCCCCGCTAGGGCTGTGTCACACACAGCCACACACACGGTGCTGTCCACTCTAGGGCTGTGTCACACACAGTCACACACACGGTGCTGTCCCCGCTAGGGCTGGTGTCACACACAGCCACCCACACGGTGCTGTCCCCGCTAGGGCTGTGTCACACACAGCCACCCACACGGCGCTGTCCACTCTAGGGCTGTGTCACACACAGCCACCCACACGGTGCTGTCCACGCTCGGGCTGTATCACACACAGCCACATACACGGTGCTGTCCACTCTAGGGCTGTGTCACACACAGCCACCCACACGGTGCTGTCCCCGCTAGGGCTGTGTCACACACAGCCACTCACACGGTGATGTCCCTGCTAGGGCTGTGTCACACACAGCCACATACACGGTGCTGTCCACTCTAGGGCTGTGTCACACACAGCCACCCACACGGTGCTGTCCCCGCTAGGGCTGTATCACACACAGCCACCCACGCGGTGCTGTCCACTCTAGGGCTGTGTCACACACAACCACCCACACGGTGCTGTCCACTCTAGGGCTGTGTCACACACAGCCACCCACGCGGTGCTGTCCCCGCTAGGGCTGTATCACACACAGCCACCCACGCGGTGCTGTCCACTCTAGGGCTGTGTCACACACAGCCACATACACGGTGCTGTCCACTCTAGGGCTGTGTCACACACAGCCACCCACACGGTGCTGTCCCCGCTAGGGCTGTATCACACACAGCCACCCACACGGTGCTGTCCCCGCTAGGGCTGTATCACACACAGCCACCCACGCGGTGCTGTCCCTGCTAGGGCTGTATCACACACAGCCACCCACGCGGTGCTGTCCCCGCTAGGGCTGTATCACACACAGCCACCCACACGGTGCTGTCCCCGCTAGGGCTGTATCACACACAGCCACCCACACGGTGCTGTCCCCGCTAGGGCTGTATCACACACAGCCACCCACGCGGTGCTGTCCCCACTATGGCTGTGTCACACACAGCCACCCACGCGGTGCTGTCCCCGCTAGGGCTGTGTCACACAGCCACACACACGGTGCTGTCCCCACTAGGGCTGTGTCACACAGCCACCCACGCGGTGCTGTCCACGATGTAAGAACATCGAACGGCACGACCCTCCCAGGCCGGCAGTATGCAGTGACATCCCTGATGTCACTGCACATGTACCGAATTTTTTCTGCCGCCTCTTGCTCTCATTTTATATTTGCACAGTTTTTTTTTTATTCACGCGTGTTTTCGTGTATGATCATTAAATATCCTTAAGGTCCCGGTACTCGTTCTTTACGATGTTAATGTTTTTGTCTTCGTTTTTTTCATTTCTGTGCTCAAGTAACACGAATCGCACCTTGTGAAACAGCCGGGCAATTGGCTAAATGGGATAATCCGTGCAACAATTAAAATTACTCAAACAACTCTACTAACATGTAAACAGGCATGGTTTAGTACAGCTTGAGACTGAAGCTTATTTAATTGAAACATATATACTTACGTCACGGTGAGGCGTAAACATCGCTGTAATGAGTCACTATGATGTCATTCCCATACATTTAAAGAATGCTTCAAGGCTTTGACATCACCAGGGCACTACAAAGGAGCGAGCACCTGAGCCTGATTTAAAAAAAAATCATTACAGTGGGATAAAAGTGCAGCCCTTCAAATTACCCGTGCCACTGTTGGCAGAAGGACCTCTGCTATGGGGAGTTCTAGATAGCCTCGAGAGAGCTATTTATGATATTGGCCTACTCTTCCACGTACATTTCAAGGGTGTCGAATAGCCAGAGAGACGTAGCATATGCATCTATAAGTGATCTTTGTTATTTCGGGGGTTTTGTTATTCTTTGACTACTCCATAGTTTTTAATTGAGGAACCTCACAGAAAACAGACTCTGTATAATCAAGCGGAGGTTTGAAATATATCCAACGAACAAAAAACACGTATATGTTGTGTGGCTTTTCTCTCGGCTTTTCGGTCATACTCAATAAAGGATATCCCGTGTCATCAAAGGGCCCTCGAGACCCAGCAATTTAATTTTTCTTCTGGATGATGATTCAAGATCACGCAGGGACGCCCACAGCACCCATGTCTGGGATTTCTTCAGTGGCGTAGCTATTGAGTGAGTAGGCAATGTAACTGTATGGGGGCCCACAGGCCAAAAGGTATCCAATCACCGGGCTATGAAGAGGACATAAATTGGGCTGTGATAAAGGAGGGTCCATTTCATTTCTTGCACCAGGGGCCATGCAAACCAGAATCAGTATATTTATTTATACTGGAGGAATCCGATAAGCTATACAGCACTTTGTCACTGATGTCCAGTCGGGGTGGCTCAGAACGTTACAACAACAAGTCACTGGGTCCTGCTCCAGCTCAAATGTAGCTCCTGTGACCTCACCAAAATCCGCAAGCGCTTATAAGCCAGCCAGCCACATGGCATCTCCATGTCACCCATTTACAGCCTCCACGTTCGGGCCATTTAAAAAACCACGTCCGTTTTGGCTTCCCCTCCCCTCTCCACCGCTCGACACGAAAGCCCCCCCCCCTCCTGCCCCTCCCACCGCGGACACTCACGCGTGCTGGGCCGCGGGACGCCGCTGCGCGGTGCCGGCACGGGGGGCGTGCAGGAGGAGGCGGAGGGACGCGAGAGCAGCAGGCAGTCGCCCTCCTGCACGAAGCCCGCCTGGATCGCGCGCAGGTAGCTGTGGCTGCGCGTGCGGAAGCAGCCCGGCAGGTCCAGCGCCTCCACCGCCTGCGACTCGTACGCAGAGTCGCGCAGGGAGCCGTACTGTCCGTTCATGTCCTGCCGGGCAACAGGGAGCAGGGGGTGGGGGTGAGATAATGTACGTAACGGTGCGTTGGGCTTCATTCGTGCCGTACATAGCCAACCGCGCTAATCGTGGGTGCAGGTGGAAAGGACAACAAACTAAACACAAAAAGCAGTTGTAAAGACATTATTTGTCAATTCTAATATTGGAAGGGAGAGCGTTCCAGACGGCCGCAGAAGAGCATCTGAACGCACGCGATGCAGTGACCGTCTTTGTTCGATTGCCTGCCAAAAGCACGCTGCGAGGATGACTGGAGTTCGCATGATGGTTTATGCATGTTGAACTTCTTTCGCACCATACGTAGCCAACCGCGCTAATCTCCCTTTAACATATGTTAAAGGAAGATAGGAAGAACTCAATAGCGTTCATTTACAGCCCTTTGTCAATCCACTGTTGGATCAAGGACTCCCTATACTGTGTACGTCATGGGGTTGTTTGACCGTACTTCGCCATGCTGGTCAGTGAGGCTTTTTGAAACAGGAGGGGACCCACAGCCTTTTCAGATCTCACTCGCCGCGGGCGTTAACTGTGGCCAGGCATCAGAACCAGGTCACTGCGTTCATCTTGTGAACCGCTCTTCCACCACTCCACACAAAAGGCAGATATTTATATTTCAACAAAAAAGGTGACAGCAATTATCTTGTAGATACATACCTCGGCGGTGTGTCCGAGGCTATCCAGAATGACTATGAGACTTCGTTAGAAAACAAATAAGAACAAGTCATGGCCAACCTCTCCAGCACAGCACGCTTGCTAGGCTACTTCCTGCTCATGGACAAAGTTCAAAGTCGTGTTGGGCAGCTCAGTCCACACAGCCCATGTACTAACATTCATTTCTCATCAATACGATAACAGATGTGAGTTTTTTTTTATGGATTGGTTTTTATCTTTATGCATATCATAGTATTGGATTGCATGTTTTTTTTCAATGGATGTTGATCCCTTTGTTCATTTGTCTTTATGTAGATACTGCCGCATATTTCACTATGAACGTGAATAGCCTTAAACAAACTTCTCATGAAAATGACCACACGAGCAAATCCATCGTATTCTATTGCAATGCGCGTAACCAAATAACAGTGAATGTGCCCAACCTCGTCAGATCTCCGAAGCCAAGCAGGGTTGAGTGAGGTTCGTACTCGGATGGGAGACGAACAATGAATGCATAACGAGGAGGTGCTGTAGGCGGAAGGGGCTGCAAGGTGGCTAGGAGATGACAGTAGAGCAATGGGACCCATGGACCGAGTCAACAGTTTGGGTCTGAATTGAATCCATCTGTGTGAAACTTTTAGCGTTATCCATTCAAATGCATGAGTTTTATTCAGGCACTTAGTTTCCTCCCATCTGTCCAAAACACGCACATTTTTGCACGTAGGGAATTTGCTGCCACTCGTAATATACTCGTGGAATTGACCGACATCCTAATACGGGGTCCTCCTGAAATAAATAAAAGAAAGGTTTAAGAATCAGTAAGACTTTTTTAGGTAAAGGGAATTAACATTCATTTGTACTGACAATGTTTTTGCCTTGACGTCATCATCATGCAGCCCGTCCCCAAGGACGATGACCTCTCTTGCATCAGGAGTCGGTAATCTTTCATCATCTTACGTGGTTGTTGCGTTTGATTCCTGTGAGTTCGCCTGTGACAAGCATGACCAGCGTTTTGAACGTTACACCTTTCCGCTTAGATCACATGCACAGTGAGCTGAGAGTAACTCCTGAGCTTCAGATGCCTTGATGTGATGGATCACATACTCCCACACTTCCGATTAGCACAGTTGGCTATGTACGGTCCAAAACAAGTTTAACATCCATCCATACCAAGAGAGAGTACAGTATCACTATACAATACAATGTGTATGTGCAATGCAGGATGATGTATATGCAGGAAGATGTCTTTAACAGTTAAAGAATAACAAGAATCCTTGCATGCTTGGCATGTCAAGAGTCAAGACGGCATCGGCCATTCTTGCACACACTCTGCACACATGCTTGTGATAACCACCGGCTCAAATATAACGTCTGAATGCAGTCGCGTCTCAAGATGCCTTCTCACAAGACTCTCACTTGGAGCGAAAACAGGTGCTGCTTTTAGGAGACAAATACAAGCCCATTTCTGGTAGTCTATTTTCATGGCCTTTGAATGAAGAACATTCACATATGTGGGTTGCCTCTATGCAATAAGGAATTGTCTAAACATCCCAAAGCTTGATCCGCATGAAAACTAGGATTTCCCGGATAGATAAATAATGTCGTACCAAACAGGCAACGCTTGCTCCTCTCTTAGTGTTGTATTTTTGTTGTTGGATTGCAGGAAGAAACAAAACTATTGTGACCGGTTTGGGAAATGAACGAGGTTGGGGAGACAGAAATGGGCACGTGGTTGAGTTCAGAGGTTTTACAGTAAAATAGAGGTTGGGGCACAAAATGGGGTCTGCAGCGGAGAGAATGTCATCCCGAGGGCTAAGTTGTCTAAAATAGCAAAACACTGCAGGCATTCAGAGTAAAGTCCCCCACATCGGCGATGGGTTTGAGGTATGATGCCTGCTGTCACTGGACGTACACCGCCCGCCCTCTATAGTCACGCAGTATCCTGAACGCGGCCATTGTGCAACGTGCCAGAGATGGGATGACCGTTCCGGATGAGGGCAGCTGCCCGTACCTGGTGGTGGTGGAGGTGGTCTCGCGCGCGCGTGTCTCATTCAAAGTTGAACAACGATTGATTTGCGTGGGGGAAATCGATTTCGGGCTCCACCGCTCTTCATGCCGATCGTCAAAGTTGGCCTCGTGAAAGCAGGCGAATGAACAAAAAAATTACAAATAAATGTTGTCCCATCTCACCTCATCTCGGAAGCTAAGCAGGTTCCGAGCCCTGATTTAGCTTGCCGTAGGGCTGTCTGGGATATACAGCGGACAACGGAGGGCAGTGAAACTAAAATCCATTGTTATACTGTACGCCTATGCTCCTTTGTCGATGTTTCCCACCTTTGTACATGCCACACTGAACCGGCATGGTGAAGTATGGTCAAATAACACTGATAGCCTGCATGGTGTGGACAGGCTCTCATCCAGCAATGGAATGAGGAAAGGGCGATACGTGTCCACATGAAACAGAAGAAGCTAACGATAAATTAATACTGGTAGGAACCTCCTGGTTACACCAGCCCACAGGGGATTATTGTGTCCGTCGTGCAGGAAGGGGCTGGGTGGGGCTGGGTGGGGAGGGGAGGGTGGGGAGGGGCTGGGTGGGGGGTGGGAGGGGTGGGGCTGGGTGGGGAGGGGCTGGTCACCCCGCGGTGCCCTTATAAAACTCAAAGTTTAACCTACTCACGCCGGCTTGTGCCCGCCCTCACAGTCGGGCATATTTGCGGAATACACCACGCCGCCGTTGACCCTGGCCATTGACCGAGCAACCCAACGTTCCTACCAGCTCCCTCCGCAGGAATGTGTTTGAAATGATTCCTATGGAAGGGTGGCGCAGGGTGGCGCAGGGTGGCGCAGGGTGGCGCAGGGTGGCGCAGGGTGGCGCAGGGTGGCGCAGGGTGGCGCAGGGTGGCGCAGGGTGGCGCAGGGTGGCGCAGGGTGGCGCAGTACTCACACTTGTGCTTTACAGCAAGAAAGCCCCGAGTTCAATTCCCAACTCGGGTGCCTGTGTGGAATTTGTATGTTCTCCCCCTGCTCTGCATGGGTTTCCTCCAGCTCCTCTGGTTTTTTCCCCTCATAGATAACCCCCCCCCCCCCATACAATATAATTGGAATTGGCCAAATATTCCATTGATGAAAAACTACCTGAAAATTACTCAATTAGGGTTAGGCACAGCAACATCGCCCCCTACTGTGAAAACTTGGTAGGACCCTCCTGAAATTCAACATCTCTGACATTGTCTGGGGATGGAGGGGGGTGTACAAATGGCAGCAGGAGCACCTCTGAGGCTGAGTTTTTTCCAGTGAAATTCATAGTGTGCAGTTAGCAGACACATGGGAAATACACTGTCGCGGGCCTTTCCATTCACTTATTGACACTGATATGCAAGCGCTCCCCTTTGCAGTTGCCCGTCGATGCATGGCAAAGTTAAGCAACCGTTATGCAAGTGACATCCCGCAAGAAGGAACGCAGGTTTTCCTTTTAAAATCAGCTGTGCATAGCTCACAAGAAGATGACAGCAGCCTGATGCACACCAAGAAATTCATGGTTTCTTGCACCTCAGCTAACATGTGGCTGACCTGGAGCTGAGCTTGAAAATATTGAAATTGCTCACCTTCAACAGAGCAGAGCAGTAGTGCACGTAACAGTGCACCAATGTATTGATTAAAAAAAAAATTCATTCTCACAAGACATGCATTGAATTATGCATGTGAAAATTGATTATAGATGATTCATGGTACTAATTATTGTGATAAGAATAATCTGTGCTGGTCACTTGGGTTGTTTGGCCACACTTGAACTCGCTGGTTCGTGCTGGTCAGTAAAATAATTGAGGGTGGGGGGTTTTCCAGGACCAGTTCAGATCGGACTCACCACTTGCGTCAGCTGTGGCGGGGAATCAAACTCCGGTTCATAGTTAATTGCACTAAACCACTGCACTCCCATCCTACCTGGTTCACATTACATCTAAATAGCATGCAACATTTACATTTAGGCAAAGGGTGCAAACAAAATTGGACAAATTCGCACAAAAAAGGACAAACGATTCTAACTATATGGTAAAAAAATGTGACAAACAAAGAATCGATTTAACATCAAAAATGTAATCTCTATCGTGACAATGCATCAATTCTCTGGAGGGGTGAATGTATGTTGTTGTCGACTTTATTTTGTGCCGTACATAGCCAAGGAGGTGCAGGGGAAGGACAACAAACTAAACACAAAAAAGCAGTTCTAAAGAAATGAATTTTCAATCGAGGTTTAAAATAGTTATCTGCTTACAGAGCACTTGTTCAAGTCAAGTGTTCCTGTGCAATGATCACGCACGTA